GACAGCTGTCCGGGGACGGCACTGCCGTGTTCCTGGCCGCCGGCGAGGGGGCGCTATGCGTGCTCAACGTCTCCACTCTGCAGGAGACCGCTAGGTAAGTAAGGCCCCCGCGCGCACCGCGGCCGCTTCGTCGGAGACGCGCGACCGGTGACGAGGAAGTTGTCCTGGCGGAGCTGAGGAGCGAGCGATGACCGGGATCAAGTGCGAAACGATCGGGACAGGGCTGGGAGGCGACCGGGGCGTGGCTAGGATACGCGCCGGAAACAACTGGCGCAAGACCGACACATGTCTGGTGAATGACCCTAGATCGGCTGTGACAGAATTAGGACGTGTCTGGGAGATGTCCGGAAAAAGACTCGGACAGCACCGAGGCATGTGAAATGTCCGTGAAATGGCTGGGAACACAGCCTGGCGAGACCTGGTAATCACGGGCAGCGCGGCTGCTCTCGAGTCTCGGTGTCAGGGCTGCCTTGGCTGGCGGCCGGGTGGAGTCCGGCGCGCCCGACCTCGCCCGGATCAAGTGGGAGTGCTGGTTCTTGGGCCGCCCGCCGTCCGGCCTGTTTTGCCCGGCCGGCATCGGTGGGCTTCCTTCCTCTCTCGCAAATTGCCTGTTTACACGGTGAGAGACATCAAGCTGGCTCGCCTGGAGCCCGCGCCTGGTAAACAGGGCACTGCAGCGCCCGGCCGGACGGCTGGCGCCGGCGGCGGCCGCCCCGGCAGCCGGCTGGCAGTGACATGCGCGAACCGCGCGGTCACGGTGCTGCCCGCCCGCCTGCCCGCCGCGGCGGCCACTCTGAGCGCGGGGGTCAGCGCGTGCTGGAGCTCCCGCGGGAGTGACGTCAGACGACGGCTCCTCGCGCGCGTTGGTCGCCGCGTTGGGGTTTGACGGCGCGCGGGATCTCTCTCGTTTATTGGGAAGTGGAGCTGTCGGCTGGAGGACCACTCGCGACTGCTCTCCGGCCCGAAATTGTTCCTCGGCGCCGCCGCGGTGCCGGAAGTGTAACCGGAGAATGGCTTCAGACGGGCTCGTCCGCCGCTCGGGTCGCTCCGTGTGTGTGCCGAAGCACCTTTGTGTGTGGACGTGACTGATGCATTGTAGACGTGCGGTGCCCGCCCCCTCCACCCGCCCCGCTCCCCAGCACCGTCTCCAAACTGTGCCTGACGGGCGCGAAGGGATTAGCGTTGACGCAGGTTCGCCCCATCAGCGAACAACTGAATCCCGCGGACGACACCAGATTACCGTCAGCGCACCCAGGCGTGCGGCGGGGCTTAACGTAAACTGCGCTCGGCTCATGTTGTCCGAAGTGGCTCATGGGCTTCCCAGTAGGCGGATGACGAAGCGGCGCTTTTTCGCCGGCGGTTTTGGTGCAGGACTGCATTCCTGCGGCGAGTTAAGCAGCTTGCGCCCGGGGCGCCAGCTGCAAACGTTTCCCCTGTGCGCCAGGACCGGTGGAGGCCTCCTCACGACGCTGCAGCCGTTTTGTCGGTTGGACTCGCTCGCTGCAAACCTGGTGACCCACATGCACTGGCGTGTCCGCCTGTGTCGGGGGCAGGGGAGGGAGGGGGCGTAGTAGCCCGGTCATGTGAAGGCCTGCCTGTATCAGGAGACGGGGGAGGGAGTGAGCGAAGGAGCCTGGTCATGTGACGGCCTGCCTGTGTCGGGGGACGGGGGGATGGACTGAGGCAAAGGAGCCCGGTCATGTGAGGGCCCGCGCCAACAGAGCGCACCGGCCGGGGGACGCCGGATGCACCCAGTTCAGCCCGTGCCGTTATTGACCGCTGCCGCGCCGCCAGGTACCAGTACACGTCGGTGGTGACGTTTGGCGGCTGCCAGGACGACTTCATGCTGGTCGTCTCGGAGAACGGCTCCGACGCGGCCTCCACGGAGAAGCTGCTGTTCAACATGCCCAAGCCCAAGGTGGGTCGCTGGCGTGTTGGCCGTGGCGCGGTTGGGTCAACCGTGACGCTCGGGCCAACCGTGACGCTTGGGTCAACCGGGACGCTGTGGGCAGTCGGCGCCTGTGGTATCGCCGATGCGGTGTGTGGTGACAAATCACGTGTAATCGGTCATGCACGGGCCGACCGAGCGGCCCGCGCATGGATGCCCGCAACGGATCATTAGGCCTGTCGCCGTCCTCAGAAAAGTCGTGACTAATCACGCGGCGAAGAGCGTGGGAGCGTCCAAAAATCGGGATGTAATGGGCACGCGAGCGTATGTAACGCCTGTAGCTCACGGACCGCGGGGCCTGATCTCAAGCGAGCGCGAGCGTTGAGGTTGGCGCCGGCTTTTTCCAGTCCCGTCTGGGTGCAGAGCCATATCGTCAGCTGTTCTGACGATATGGCGCCGCCGCCTTTATCTGCAAATTTTCGTCGCATCCTCAGCGCTGCTCTGGCCGTGCGCGGGGTGCTGCGGCACGTCTGGTGCGCGGGCCGCAGGAACGCCCGGCCGTCGGCGGGTCTCAGGGGTCCGTTGGCGTCTGTGGGTCACGTGGTCCTGCCTGGCCGGCCGCGGCGGTGCAGCGACAGACGGGACACTGACGGGGAGCCTCATAGGACCCGGCGGTGGCGGTGCCTGCCGGGCCGCGGGACCCCAGGGGTGCGCCCGTCCGCACCTGCACCGCTCCGGGTCGCCGTGTCGGTATCGACGCGGCAGGCGCGGTCGACGCGGCGGCGGCGGGCGGCGCGGTCGATGGTGCAAAGTTGGCGGCGCGAGATAGGCGGCCCGCCGGTGTCGCTGAATTATGGCTGTGTTTATTCCTGCGCCGGTATAAATGATACGCTATCGCGCGGCGGCCGCCTGCTATTGCCCCGGCGGTAGTTAATGGCCGGTGTCGGCGGCGCGCGGCGGGACCCGGCGCCCCCTGTCGGTCCACTTGACTGACGGCAGTCGGCCGCCGCCGCCGCCGCCGCCGGCGCCGGCGCCGCCGGGTCCACGCACCAAACGCCGGCTCGGTCAGCCGGCCGCTTCCTGCCCCCCCCCCCCCCCCGGGGGGGGGGGGACGCGTGTGGGGTGGAGCCGTTGGTGCGTGACGGATTCGCAATCGCGCGGTCCGTCTGTTGACGTCCCAGGGGACGTTCAGCGGGTCGTGCGCCGGAGTTTTTAACTTTTGATGAAGTTATGGTGGCCCATAGAGATGAGCCAGAGCCAATTCGCGAAATGTTCTGGGGCGCCCGGGGCAAAGTTGCGGAGCCGAAGGAGAGTTACGAGACCGGGGCACCGTTCCGGGATGAAAACTTGCTCGCGGAGTTTTAGATTGTATCAAGGTCTCTGCAAACAGCTGAGCTGGCAATGGCTCGCTTCGGACTCGGCGAAGCTCGGCCTGGCCGTCGCGGACCGAGACGGACGGCGTGGGCGCTCCGGGCGGTCTTCGGCGCGTCGACCGGCCGGTCGGTCCGGGTCGCCGCCGGCTGACGCCCCCCTTGACGGCCGCGCGCCGCTCGCCGCCAGATTTTGGAGCTGACGCTGCTGATCGCCGACTACATGAACGCGCTGGGTCGCATGCAGCCGGGCACGCCGCAGATGGGCACTCTGAGCCGCGTCGGGTCGTCACAGCGGCCGCTGCGCACCCGCATGCCCAGCGTCGGCTCGGAGGCGGGCGCTGAGCTGGTCAGGTGGGTCACCGGGGAGAGAGGTCAGCTGAGCTGGGCAGGTGGGTCACCGGGGAAGAGGTCAGCTGAGCTGGGCAGGTGGGTCACCGGGAGAAGAGGTCAGCTGAGCTGGTCAGGTGGGTCAGCGGGGAAGAGGTCAGCTGAGCTGGTCAGGTGGGTCACCGGAGAAGAGGTCAGCTGAGCTGGTCAGGTGGGTCACCGGAGGAGAGGTCAGCTGAGCTGGGCAGGTGGGTCACCGGAGGAGAGGTTCACCCTGACGCTTGGTGCAGGTGGTCCAGCGGGAAGAGGTTCAGCTGAGCGGGGTGCAGGTGTGGTCACCGGAGAGAGGTCAGCTGAGCTGGGCAGGGTGGTCACCGGGGAAGAGGGCAGCTGAGCTGGGGCAGGTGGGTCACCGGAGGAGAGGTCAGCTGAGCTGGTCCAGGTGGGGTCCCGAAGGAGAGGATGTCAACTGAAGCTGGTCAGGTGGGTCACCGGAGGAGAGGTCACCTGAGCTGGGCAGGTGGGTCACCGGAGGAGAGGTCAGCTGAACTGGGCAGGTGGGTCAGCGGGGAAGAGGTCAGCTGAGCTGGGTCACCGGAATGGACGTCGTCTGAGCCGGTCAGGGGGACACAGCGGTGATTGCTCGGAGTTACTAGCGATGGTGAACGTTTCTCAGCGGGTGGCTGGCAGCGTTTAGCGGGGCTCACCAGTGAAAGCCGTCGGATCTGAGAGTGTCCAGCAGTGGTGGCGGGGTCTCAGTGGTGCTCAGAGCTGGCTGCCGGGTCTGGGCATGACTGGTGGAGCCTGGCTGGTGTCAGCACGGCCGGCCGTACGGGTGGGTGCCCAACAACCCTGGCCTGTGTCAGCGCGCTGTCGCAGTGCGCGTCTGTCGCCGCTCGCCTATCGCACTTCGCTGCCTCGCAGTAAACACCGAGACCAGCCAGTGCGCGTGTTTCGGACAGTTTGTGTGTGTGTGTGTGTGTGTGTGTGTGTGTGTGTGTGTGTGTGTATGTGTGTGGACTGTCTGTGGGGTGACCATCCTGACGCCGCCGCCTCGTCTTTCCAGGAACGGCGGCGTCAAGATCCGCACCAGCCACGAGGCGCTGTAGCCTCCGCCGCCGCCGCTGCTGCCGCCCCTGCCGTCGCCGTCGCCGCCGCCGCCGCTGCCGCCTCTGCCGCCGTCGCCGTTGCTGTCGCCGCCGCCGCCGTCGTGTAGCCCGCTGTCCCTCTCTCCCTGTGATCTAGACCAATTTCGCCACGCTGTGCCCGGCCCTTCGGCGCTCGCTGCGGCGCGCTCGGCCGTGTGCGCGCCTCGTCCATGTGTTTTTAGTCTTCCACGTGTAGGAGGAGCGACGCCATCACTCACTAGTCGAAGGGCGGTGCCGGACCGCCGCCTCTGATCTCCCGGCCTGCGCCGCGCGCCGGCCGCAGGCTATTTCGGCGGCGTGTGAGCCCGGCTCGAGCGTGTCCGTCCGTCGGGCCACGAGCGCCGCCGCGCCGACCCGCCGTCAATGGACGCTCAGTAACGAGCTGTCTGCTGAATGCATTAACAGGGACGGCGCTAGCGCGGCACTGCATAGTCGGTTTTGTATGAGCTGATGATATACGGCCGCGAGCTTTTGCAGAGATGGAATAAAATTTGTATTAATGCAGCGGGAGTATTTTACAGCCGGAGCCGGACTGAAAAGGAGATGAATGTGGTCTTCTGGTGTATTTATGTAGCGCTTTATGGGCGGCGGCCGATATTAGAGAGAACGAGATTGGGGCTGTAGATAGAGGCATAAAATCCTGGGGATTTACGGCTTCCCAGTCGGGAATCAAACTAATGGCAATTGTAGCATCGTCGGCGCCGGCAGGATACCGCTTCGCCATTAAAGTCGGACTAACCAAGCCGGCGGGAGTGCGCGGTCGGGGGTCGGCGTGGGCACCGTCGCCGGGCACAGCCGCGACCGGGCGCCGGCCGTCCCTCGCGTGGTGCCAGTCTTTGTAGCTCGTTTTGAATGACTTAGATATGGGGGCGGCGCTTTCTAGAAAATATTGCGGGGGCTTCCAACAGTATTGTTCAGAGCTTTTTATGGAATTGTTTCACCGCGTCATGAACGGCGTAATTAAAAAATGGAATTGTTTCTCGGCTCGAGCCCGTAAAAATGTGAACAATGCGACACACGCGCTTAGGCCGCAGCTGGGAATATTTGAGGCCATTCCGTCGCGTGCTTTTTCAAGCGTGGCATGTGGGAAACCTAACCGAAGATGAACAAAATAAAATGCAAGTTGGTGGAACGGCGAGCACGATGGAACAGCCCGGTGTAGAGGGCAAGAATAGCGCAGCCCAGGTATGTCAAGGCCTGCCGTCTGTCCCACAGAGATGCTGCACAACCTTTGCCGTGAGCTGCCAGCGGGCGTCGTCCGCCAGTCGGTGGCTCAAATTGACGTGGCGAGCGGGGATAGTAAATTGGACGGGGTGGTGACGCGAGCGTCCAAGTCGAGCCCAGCGCCCGCGAGGCGCAGTCTGGCTAATGATGGCCTGACGGTGCATCGCTCAGCGTCGGCCGTCAGGAGTCATCCCTACGGCAGCGATGCGCCCGTCACTTGGAACAAGAGGTCATGGGCCCTCTCGTGACCGGCCTGAACCGATACGCATGCACCGCACCGCCTCGGGGTGTCAATGGCCCACCTCCCCCTCTGCGCATGTCGTCCGTCCCGGCCCGGACGTCCTCAGGTGACCCCGGGCCACCAGCTGAGGTCGTCGGAACAGAGGTCACCGGAGCGCGTGGCCTGTCCCCGGAGCC